CTCATCCACAACCCCCCCTCCCTCCAGGCGACGAGGCCCCCACAGTGGAGGTACACATCCTCCACGACTTCGCCGCCGAGGACTTCCGGGGCTCCCACCTGCGCGTGCTGGCCACCAGCTACCTCCGGCCCGAGATGAAGTTCGACGGCCTGCCGGCCCTGCAGAAGCGCATCAAGGCCGACATGGGGATCGCCCGCAGCCAGCTCGACGCGCCCGGGCTGCAGGCGCTCAAGGGGCACCCGTCGCTGACGTCGAGCTAGGAGGCAGCGGCGGCGGCGGCGGCGGCGGCCCGGGGTTTTCGTGTGGCCGCTGGCGAGCTGAGAGTGGGGCGCGGGTTTCGGGGTGCGAGCCAGCTCGCCGCGCCGGAGGCGGGAGCGCGAGGGGAGCACAGCCTGATGCACACCCAGCAGTGTGCATCAGGGTAGCGGCGCACCGGGGCAGCGGCGTGCTGGCCAGCGCCTCTTTTCTCCGACGCAGGCGCTAAGCGCCCGCCTCCTGTGCCATTGGGCGCGGCGCCTACCAGGCACAGACCCTGAACGCGCCGTCTTGAAGGCACGGCTTCTTACAATATATTAGCCAAGAATTGCAGCGCAGCACGGCTGGCTGATGAAAGGGACGCCCCAGAGGGCGTCTTCAGGTTGGCAGGACCTGAGGGCCAGGTGCTTTCTGCCTCTTGGAAGCAAATCCTCACGTCACCGCCGCACTGCGTGATGTCAAGCGCTTGTCATGCGGTGATGCTACATACACGTGCAACCCCAGCGGGACACAGGCCGCTCAGTGGTCATACATTCTACTTGGGGTGGCGCAAGGCGTGAGTTATTGCCACCACCCTTGTCCCCCCTCGTTTTGCGTCTACGGCATCATCCCCACAGATTTTCAACCACAACATACCACCATCCTCCCTCGGGCCCTACATCATCACCTTGTCAGAGGGGCCTATGGGGAGAGCCTGAGGGAGGGGGCCGGGGCCCGCCGGGTCTTTTTGAAGCACAGCCAGACATGCCACGCGCGCTGCGCGGCGGGCCGCTTGGCGCATTGTTTGGGTTCTCAGTGGTGTGCAGGCAGGTGCTGACACGGTGTCGCCCTTAGCCTTGAAAGTTGCGACCTGAGTAACGCGGCGACGCTGAAGCCCTAGTAGTGTTCTGTGCGATTAATGCGCTGGTCAACCCCACGGGCAGCCAGACGTCCAAGGACCAGCGCAGTGCGCGGTGCAGCAGGTTTCTCATATTGAGCATCGCCTCAAGGTCGTCAGTCTTCAGTCCCGCGCATGTGGAACGCCTCCAGTCAAGACAGTATTTTGGCCTTGCAGGGAGGCTGGGAATAAATCCTGGCCATCCAATGCCAGCACGCGGCGGCTGGGCGAGTGGGATTGCAGCACTTGTGATTTGAAGCGGCTCCAGGAAGCTGTGCGATGCGTGCTGGCATTGAAATGACGCTCTTGTCACGGGGTCTGGCACCACATGCGCCTCGCTGCCAGCCTCTCACCCAAGCCTGCTGTTCAGATTGGCTGCTAGACACAAAACACACCTAAATTGGAGGCACGTCTGTGCAGGGCCGATGCCAGCATGCTTGCTTGAAACCATCCTAGCCGAGAAGCCTCAAACAAAAGCATTGCAGACTAGCCCCAAATGTCTGGCCCGCAACCTGGCTTCACAACCTGTGTTCTCTGCCGCCGTCGGCTAGTGTTACACCATCAGCTTGCCCGCAACACGACTCCATGCCCCGCTTGACGTCGTGGCGGGTGTGGTATGTTACATGTACATCACAGGGATGCCACACGCACATGAGTGCGTGCAGAGAACGTTGCAGAGAATGTTGCGGTGGCAAGCAGGCGCAGGTGGAGGGAGGCTGCGAGCTGTGGCATCAGAACAGGAAAACATTAGGTGTAGAAGAGTTGAAGGTCATGGAATAGAGGTCAGAGAAAGGATCCAGTTCTTTAGGCAACGACCCCGCGCCAGGGGGCAGCATGGGCCTTGCAATGGCCACAAAAAAAGTGTGAACGGCGAGGTAATCATGTGTGCGCAGGTGCTGTCAAGCACCGCACTCCATCACAGCCTGAAAACGATGCCATGCCTGCTGCTGCGGGTGCTTATTGCTGGTTAAGATATGCTGCTGCGTCGTTCGCGCCGGCGCGTTAGCTGCTGGGGTCGCACACGCTTTGTGCACGCGCTGTTGAGGACAAGCCCGCCACCGTCATGCGCTGCAACCGCTCGTCGTGCAGCTGCTTCAGGAGAGCATTGATGCTGGCATAGTCGCCCTCCCCAGACAGCGCATGAGCCAGCTGTGCCTCGACACCTGCTGCAAACGCAGCGTCGCCCTGGCGCAGTGCCGCTGCCGCTGCCGCTGCTGCCGCTGCCTCCGCCTGTACATCATGCTGCCACGGCTGCGACACCTGCAATTTTAACACGGAAGCGCGTCAAGTACTAGAGGATATCAGTGTGTAGGTCGAGAGGAATGAGCAGAGGCCAACCAAGTTCAAAGGCAATCTCCTCACCTGATCGCAGTCGAGCCTCAGCCGCTTAAAAGCAGGGCTGGGCGCGTCCTCGCAATACTGCATGCATGGTAAGAGAGGGAGTGAGGCCTCGTATGTGATGAAGGCACCACCTCGTCGCCGTGCGAGACCGTCCAGCGGAGCTCACGCTGTGCTCCGGCCGCAAAGGCTCTCGGCCTCTCTTCACAAGAGACATCGACGGCCGCGCTGGGGTGAGATGTCGAGCCGAGCACCGTCAGCAAAAAGTCGTGCTCAGATTGTTATACTGCTATGCCAGGCAGTGCCGGAATCAGCGAGCTCCTCTAACAATATACTGTGAATGTTTGCAGTGGAGGGCGCCTGCAAAGCGCGTCGAGAACGGCCATCCGCTCGCCTGGCTCTCGCAGCACCCACTCCACTGCACTCGTCCTGCCGGCGGTCGCTGGTGAGTGATGTAGAGGGGGAACAGAGACGCAGGGGAGTGAGTCCTTGCAGCCGCAATGGATTTTCTGCTTGTACATGTACTGCATGCTGGGCTGACCAGTGGCGCGGCCCTGCATCATTGTACCGCTGACCTGCGTTTGACCGACTGATGCCTCAATCCACCGCTTGACCAAGAAGGCCACCTCGTCACAAAACTGCTCTGAACTTCGGTCGCATGGCTGCCTAGAAGTACAAAAAGACCTATGGAATGCATTACTGCTCTAAGTGTTTTGTACAACCCTCTCAACTACAAGCAATACACAAGCTGTGGTTCGCACTCTCGCCCCAAAACATGCAAGCGCGTCTGCACGTGCCCGCGTCAGTGAAGAGGCAGGGGTACCAAAACGAAAGCGCTTCGACGAACAAAATTGGCTGGGCGCGTGACCCAAGCGGACGGCAGGCAGGAAAGTGCCAAGAATCCATGGCAATGCCTGAGCGGATCAGAGTTGGGGGGAAAGGAAGGCGACAGAAAACAGGGTTTTAGCAGCGGTGCCCGGCGCAACAACCAGCTCCTTCAAGCGGCTGGGGCGCTGGCGGCACACTGCTGCTGGTGCAGCTGCTCTGTGTAGCGCTGCACGGCCCGCAGGTTTGATACGACCTCTCGGCTGATGCGATTCTGGATCAGGCCGACAGGCAGCCAGGCCTGTGGCCGGACAAATAGGGTATACACCAGCCAGGAGGACTCCGGACCCAGCAGCCCCGGCTGGATGCGCCACACGCCCTTGAACGCCTGGGGTTTCGGCGGGGGCGCCGCGGCGGCATGTGGCGCACAGAGGCACAGACAAGCCGCGCCAGCCCACAGAGGCACAGACAAGCCGCGCCAAACTCCTGCCCTGAGCGCCAGCAGGCTAGGACTGGTGCATCGCAGCAAAGAACCCCGTGCCTAGCTGATACAGGTCATGCTGCCACCAAAACCTTCCCCATCACCCCACTACTCATTGCTGATGCACCGCCGCACCTCAAAGTCCCCCTCAAGCAGGTTGAAGGTGATGTCCCCATGGATGGGCTTCCCCGGCAGGCTCTGCGTCGGCCACGGGTACAGCGCCGCCGCGTCGCCCTCGTCGATACTGCTGACCGCCGAGTCCTCCTCCATGCACATCATGGGCGACAGGCCCTGGGGGTGCTCCTGGATCTCCAGCGTGCAGGCGGCGCGGAACTTGACGCCCAGCGCCACGTCCTGTGCGCCGACCTGGAGGGTGGCAAGGTGTTTTGGGAGTGCAGGGGGGGTGGTTTGATGCGCAACAATTCAACCAAAGCACAACAGCTGTGGTGCCGAAAATGGCGTCCTGGTGCGTCCGCCTCAGCATTACCTAGCTGCAGCCAGACAGCCAGCTGCACCCATGCACGCACCCTGGCCCCAGCCCTTGCGCAGCCACCAATGCGTAGAAGGCCTCATACCAGTGCCGCTGCTGCACGTGGCTTGATGTGCCCACGAGCTCTGCGCCGCCGCAGCTCGCACGCCTGCCCCTGTGCGGCTCGCCCGCCGCGCGCCGCTGGCTACTGGCTGGCGCACCTGGTACAGCAGCGCGCCGCGCTCCCGCCGCTCGATGCACCGGTTCTCCACCAGGCTCGGGATGAAGTTTCCGAGACCGTCGTAATCGGTGAGGGCCTCCCACACGCGCTCCGGCGGAGCCATGATGGAGGTCGCCGCGATGAGGCGCCGGCTGCTGAAGGAGGGCTTCTCGATCATCACAGACACCTCGCCCGGCGCGAAGCGGTCGTCCGGCGTCAGAACCGCAGGCTCTGCGCGGCGGCCGCGGCGCAGTGGGGGCGCGCGGGGGTGTCAGCTGCGAAGGGGGCGCGTGCAGCGGCGGCTGCTGCGGGCTACGTTTGGCAGGGCTGTGTCGTCCGCGCACCACGAACGATTGTGTGAGGCGGGCAGACCGGCTCGCACTCCACCTCCACCCTCGGTGTAAACAGCTCGCCCATGCCCTCGAGGTGGATTCAGCAGCCATGAAAGCGGCCGACCAGTGGCTAGGGCAGCTTCCACCGCCCTCGACCTCGACGCAGCGTAGGCGTCCGCACATCATTGAGAGGAGGCCAGCGCACCTGTTGCTGGTTGCGCCGCCCCCATCCGCCATGCTCTCCGCTCCACCCGTCTGCTTGCGGCATGGCTTCGCTTGGAACCCCTTGTCAGATGACAAATACCGGGCATGCTCCCATACGCATGTTGCATAGAGCAAGCCATGTCGGCCACGCGTCCCGGCTGAAATAAGTGAGTGAAGACGCGGCTGTAGAATTCAATTACTCTGCAATTCACGGCGTTGCGCCCACATGCCGAGATGCAGGTGGCAGCTGCGGATGCGGAAGGGACGGGTGTGCATTGATGCAGCTGCAGGGCGCGGCTCAGACGGTGTTTCAGGCGTTGCGAGCACGTCTAGATTTGTTCGTAATGCGTGGAGTTTTGAATAAGCTACTTCTGGATCCCTGTGTCGTTGATCAGCGTGATCTAGTCCCTCGTGAGGCTTGTTGGCACGGCCTGCAGAGGCTCCTGCGAATCTGGAAGTCTGCTGAGTTCAAATATAAAGCTTTCCGGCCGATCAAGCTCCACCCTGGTTTGCCGACTGCGCACACAGATCGAGCAGGAGCGCACCCCGCGCGGCGCTCACCGTCCGCTTCTGGCGACAAGCCGCAGCCGCAGCAGCCATGGTTGTCGGCGAGTTTACGGTCAGCAACATAGCGATGGAGGAGGATAAGAGGGAGGAGGAGAAGAACAAGGCGATTAGCCAGCTAGACCTGGACAAATTCAAGGCAGATGTTGCGGCGCAAGCGGCTATCGCAAAGCAGGTGCGCCCTGTCAGAAGCGGGCGGACCCTGGAAAAGGCGACAGGGGTTTTCCAAATGCAAGCACGGTTTTCCACATGCACGGCGAGCTGCGAGGCTGCACCCCTCGTATGCGACTGCTGGCAGCGCTGAGACCACAGCTGTTGCAACCAGCGCAAGGTTGGCGGCAAACTGCGACCCGCGCGGCGCCCAGTGGCGCAACCCGCTGCGGCGGCGCAGTTTCAGGCTTATCGAGTGTAGATTTCGCGCCATGGATTCTGCAGGGAAAGCTGAACGAGGCGCTGGAGGGCCTGCTCAACCTGGAGAAGTCGGCGCGCCAGGCTGAGGACATCGGCGCGCTGCGCGCCGCATGCAGCGCGGTGCTGACCGCGTGCTTCGACGCGGGCGAATGGAAGCTGCTGGAGGAGAACGTGGTGCTGCTGTCGAAGCGGAGGGGGCAGCTGCGGCAGGTGGGAGGGCGGGCTTTTGCAGGGGCTGGAGCTGGTACGCAGGCGACATGCGACCGCTTGCAGAGTTGACCTGAAGCTACAGTAGGCGTGCTATTGCTGCAGCATGCAGCACAGTGGCATGGCATGCGACCTCCCAGCCGTACCATCCCTACCCCCCAACCTGCCGTGCGAACGCTGTGCGCAGGTGATCCAGTCGTTTGTGCGTCAAGCCATGGGGTACATCGACAAGACCCCGGACAAGGCCACCAAGGTGTCGCTCATCAAGACGCTGCAGACTGTCACGGAGGGCAAGGTGCGGCGCGCTGGCATTTCAGGCCTGGAAAGCGGCGATGGCTGGTGGTGGCCGGGCATGTTGCGAATGTTGTGCTGTCGCTGCTCGGCAGACATCGTGGCAGTGTAGCCAGGTGGATGCGCACCGCACCCGGCCTCGCCCATCCGTCAGCACACATGCACGGAACCCTGAACCTGCCGACTCCCCGACTCATGTGTACACAGATCTTTGTTGAGATCGAGCGGGCGCGCCTGACGCGGCGCCTGGCCGCGATTCAAGAGGCGGACGGGCAGATTCAGGAGGCGGCAGACACCATGCAGGAGGTGCCAGTGGTGAGTGGTGCAGCGCACGGCGCGGCCCTGCACGTCGGGACAAAGGCTGACTGGAGGCAGCGGTGTAGGCTTTGCCGCGAGCCAAGCGAGGGGTGGCAGCCTTTATGATGGGCCAGCAGCAGCCTGGGCTGTGTTGCGAGTTGGGTGGCTTCGCCGTGCCTGGCGACGCAGGTGAACAGGCCGCTTGCCGCATCTCACGTGCCCCAACCCTGGCGCGATCCGCGCCTGGCAGGAGACGTTTGGGGCCATGGCCAAGACCGAGAAGATCGCCTTCATCTTGGAGCAGGTGCGCGGTCGCACCCTTCGCATGGGCAAAGTTGTGGCCACCAGGTCCGGGCAGGGGGGATTGCATTGGTTGTTGAGATGAATGCGTAGTGACTTGGGGTCAACACGGGGGTTGGGACCAGGTGGACGCCAATTTCGGCAGCCGGGTGGCTTATCGAGCATGCCACGGAAAACCTGCCAGCAGACCCGATGCATTCCAACCTCCCCTTGTTCCCCTGAACGCGGCCCCCGGCCCGCACCTTGCGCTCCCGGTGACGCCCCTCTCTCTCGTGGCCCTGCCTCGACCCAAATTCGCAGGTGCGGCTGTGCCTGGCTAAGAAGGACTACATGCGCGCCCAGATCCTCAGCCGCAAGATCAGCCCGCGCGCCTTCGTCATCCGCGTCGGCGAGGCCAAGGGGGAGATCGGCATTGAGGGCACAGCCATCGAGGAGGCGGAGGAGGGCGTCGCCACGTGAGCGCCAGGCAGCCTGCTGCCTGATGTCAGGCAGGGATTGGGGCGGACAAGCGGGCTGCAGTTGAAGGAGACCCACTCCACCCTTTGCCAGCCACCCATTGCTCTCCCGGCTGGTGGCAACCCGTCATGTCCCGCAACAGGCACGTGCGCACCCACAAACACACATACTCTCTCTCTCTCTCTCTTCACAACTATTCACGCGCGCGCACACACGCACACACACACACACACACACACACACTTGCACAGCCTTCCGGAGCTCAAGGTGCGCTACTACGAGCTGATGATCCAGTACCACATCCACTCCAACAACTACCTGGAGGTCTGCCGCGCATACAGGTGCGGGCGGGGAGGGGGGCGGGCTTGGGGGGTTGAGACAGCGGATGGGGTTGGGGTGGATGAGGAATGTGGAGGAAGGGATGGGCTGAGCGCTGAATGTGTACTGCAGATTGGGCGGTTTGATGCTTCGATACGCGCACCGTACGTTACCACGTGGCTCGCACCTGCGCGGCCCCCTGCTCCAGTGAATGTTGGGGCCTGGTCTGCGCTGCGGGTTGCTGTGCGCTCTCGCCCCCTGCCCGTACCTTGCTTGGTGATGCACACGCGCCCTGCCCTGCGCACATGCGCCTGCAGGTCGCTGTATGAGAGCGAGGGCATCAAGGAGCACGAGGACAAGTGGGTCCCGGTAAGAGGGCGCAGGCCCACAGGGGATTGTGGCCAGTTTTTATGCACACACCCGCTCTCTGAACCCGCTCAGCCGAGCCTGCCGGCCACGCCAACGGCACCCTTTATGCTTGAAGGCCTGGCGTGACCCCCATGGTGGAGGCGAGCTGGGCTGAGGCCATTCATGCATCGCCAGGCAACCTCGTAACAATACGCACTCGCTCCCAGATTTTCAAATCACTGACTCCGTTTCAACACTATCCAACTTTGATTCACCAAATCAGGTGCTGAAAAAGATCTGTTGGTTTGCGGTGCTGACCCCCACATACTCCACCGCCGAGGGCAGCAGCAGCGACATCGCCACGCTCGTCACGGCCACAGCAGCGGACAAGCGTCTGGCCGACGCGCTGCCGCTCTACAAGCAGCTGCTCGACACCTTCCAGACGCCTGGTGTGCACGCGGCTCGCGTGGGGTGTCCGGCTCGTGGCTTCTGCATTGCCACGGCGAACGCCCTTTGCTGACAACTTCGTATGTCTATTACGTCTGTGGCGTTCTTTGTCCAGCCAATTGCGTGCAGAGCCATGTGCTTCAGCCCCCCAACATTTTGCAATGCACAAAATACTTCCCACTCTGCTCTATGCGGCATCGGCAATCTTTCAAAACGGCCCTCTCATTGGACCTACCCGCCATTTTCACAGAGATCGTGCGCTGGCCGCTGTTTGAGGCGACTTACGGGCCAGAGATGGCGGCAGAGGCGGACGTGTTTGGGGATGCCGCAGAGGGGGGCGCCAAGCGGCGCGAGGACCTGCAGCTGCGCGTGGTGGGTGTCAAGACTGGGCGGCCCCGCGGCCTCGCGGCAGTGGCCTGGGGGTTGGCGTCTGAAAGGGCACGTGCTGCCGCTGGGCCGGGCTTGGGCGGCCGCAGTCCGGCCGCTTGGGCTGCGTCGGACCAGATTTTGTCTCCAGTTCTCGCAGGAATGCGCCGCTTCGGGCTCGTTGCCAATCGCCGTTTCTTGGCGCCCCACCGTTCATACAGCAACCCACCAAGACTGGGCGATTATGTCCAGTGTGCAACCCCACTCTCAAGTAGCTGGTTCCCCCAAAATCGCCACCATCCCCACCCACCCCAATCAGGTCGAGCACAACGTGCTGACTGTTGCCAAGTACTACACGCGCATCTCCATGGCCCGGCTGGCGGAGCTGCTTGACCTCAGCGCAGACAAGGTGGGGGACGGCGGGAGCACTGCGACAGGGTAGAGATGAGGCTGGGTGCAGCATGTGGGCCGTGCGCAGCTGTCTTTGCATGCAGCTCACATGTGCAGCTAAGGCGTACTGGAGGGCAGGGAGGCAAGTGTTTGCCAACCACACACTGGTGGGTTTTCAGCCTCTTTATCATCTCTGCCCCAAGTCACTTGACGCTCGCCCTATCCAACCTCCACCCCCCCCCCCCTTGCTGCAGGCCGAGGACGCGCTGTCCAAGCTGGTGGTGTCCAAGGCGGTCTGCGCCAAAGTGGACCGCCCCGCGGGCGTGGTGACGATCGGCAAGAAGAAGAAGCCCGAGGATGTGCTCAATGCGTGGGCCACAAACATCGAGAAGCTGCTGGGCCTGGTGGACAAGGCCACGCAGCAGATACAGAAGGAGGCCATGGTGCACAAGGTGCAGCTGGGGGCGGGCGCGTGAGCGTGGTGTGCGTGGATGTCATGCGGGCGGTGCCTGCAGGCCAAGGTGGCCGTGTTTTTAAAGGCGTTTTGCCTTCAGCCTCGGCGCTCGACTCGGCACACCCGTGGCATGTAGTCGGCCGTATGGCTGCATGTTTGCTCCCATCACAAGTAATGTGGCGCAGCCATTGCCCTGCTCATGCGCGTTCTATCAAGGGGCTCAAGTGCAGCAGTTTGGTGAGGGGCACAGGCAGGCATGCCAATGCGCCTGCTGCCAATGATAATTCGGGATGGCACGTTGCCTTGCAAATGCCTCTCCATTTCATTGCAGCAAAGCCTTGAGATTGGTGCAGGTGGGGGTCAAGCAGGGGTGGCGACGCAACGCGCCCTTCCTTGTGCTGGGTTGGGCAAGCGGCGTGCATGGGAATTTGGACGAGGGACCCTACAAAGACTGCTGATCTACTCCACATATGGCCATGCAACGTAGCAATGTATGATGGTTATACTGCAGTGCATGTGCCGGTGCTCTGGTGAGTTGGATTGAGATTGTCAGGCTCAGGCGTGCGGTCCAATGAAGCGGGGTGCGTGACTGACGGTTCATGAGAATGCGGCTGGGCAGCGTGTGGCAATGACATGCGTCGCGCAATGCAGCAGATATGGTGATGAGCAAGATAATGCAGGGGGGTGCATCTCAGTCACGAAGAACATGCATTTCCAACATGTGCCGGGCATCGTTGCGGGACGCCCAGCGGCGCACGCCAGAGGGTCACACGCATTCGAGAGAGGACAATGTAAGATATGCTTCAAGTTGCTTTATTGACAGTACTAGAGATGGCACCAGGCCGGGCTGCTACAATTGGGTTGCAGTCCTCGTGACCGACCTTCCGCACGGCGCATTAACACTTTGAAACCAAAAGCCGATACTATTTCATGTGTACCTGATCTCGATCGCCACGTGACAATCCTGTCACCCCCGCCACACTCCCCGGACCACGCACGCGCCACCTTTCCTACCTTGCTAGAGAACGCAGGGAACGTATTGATTCGCATGCATGAGATCGAAATAACCCTATTTCACCGCACGCAACCGCTACGGCGGCCTGTCACCCACTGTCTTTCCTCCTGATCAGTGCGATGCTGCCCGCAGGGGGTCGCTCGCCCATTGGGCTTGCGGCCCTAATCATGACGCTGTGCCTGGCGGGGTGCCGCAGCCAGGGCCTGGGTCCAGATGACAGGGCCATGGCTGGCACCTCCGCCGCTAGTGACCCCCTGAAGATGCTATACATGCGATCTGCAGCATGGCGCCACGCCTACAAGAGCAACGCCGCGTCTGCATGCAACAGCAAAAGCAGCAGCCTGTGCGCGTCAGCGGGGGCATCAGAAGCCGACATGGTTGCGCTGCGCATGGCCACGTCACCACAGCAGTTTGACGCGCGCCGCAGCTCCGACATGGGTGGCTTTAACGCGATCGGGTCTCTCAAGGTGAGAGGTGGCGGTGGAGATGAGGTTGTCTCCCTGGGGCACAGGCCAGGCTACCACATGCACGCCTACAGCCGCGAGCCCTTTTCAAACTGCTGGTTTGTGCTGTGGCCGTGCTTTTTGCCAGGGGATGCCGCCGTGCCCCCCAAACTCGACAACCCCCACTTTCCTTAACAGGATCAACATGAATGCAACTCCAGTGTTGGCTTTGTCGTGCTGGCCGCGGCGCAGTCAGCAATGGCTTGTGGGCTGCAGGAGGACGCCATCAGGTGCGTGGGCCAGCCGCATGCGCGATCCTGCGTTTCCCTTGCAAGACGACCGGACTCAAACATCGTCACTGGGGCAGGCCGAAGGGGGCTGATGAGCGCTCATCGGCCACTGCTGGAGGGCACAAAAACTTTGGAGCCTCCTAAAGCCTGGCATGTACTCGTAGCACAGACTCATTCCACCACCGGTGGGCCCTCCCTACCTCCGCCTCCGCATGCGTGATCATGTGTCCTTCACCTCACTGTCGATCCAACTGGCAACTACTGGCCGCAGTCACTTGTCAGAGCAAGGTGAGAGCCCTGTGCTTTCAAGTTGCAGCGCTCAATGCAAATAAGGGCGTTGTACGTACAAGCTTTGCCAGCGGCTTTGCATGATTGTTCTGCTCTGCCACCCGCCTGGACGCCGCTACCAGCCGTGCCCAGACTCTACTTTGGCCCAGCCTCTCCTCTGCATCCCTGCCCTGCTCCCCTGCCTGTAGACTTTGTCATGTGCAAGGGCACGGAGCCTGGCCAGGAGCGCAGCTGCAGCACCAACTGGAGCATCAAGTCCGGCATGATCACCTGGGTGGAGCTGACGCGGGCCGGCAAGTACCCCGTGACAGAGCGCTGCCTGCCCTACAATCCCACCAGCCGGGCGCGCTGCTCCTACGACTGCCAGGACGTGGACCCCCGCCTGAAGCTGGGCAAGTTCTACTGGCAGCGCCTGCAAGACCCAAGCGAGATGCAGGACCATATTCGCCAGTTTGGCTCGGTGAGGGGCGCGCCTGAGCGTTGAGGGTGACACACGATAGCCCTGAGCGTTGCAATCAAGCACTTTTGACTCGCACGCACGGGCGCACAACTGCACACACACACACACACACATACACACACACACACACACACACACACACACACACACACACGCGCGCGCGCCTGCGCGCGCGCGCACGCGCACGCGCACGCGCACATGTTTGCGTGCACACAAACACATTCACACACACGCAACCCCCCACGTGCCCTGAGTACACCCCTCCAACTGGGGCAGCAATGGCACAGGGGCCTTGCTCCCGCAAGCTGGCCGCCCTCCATCCACTCATGCTGACTAACATCCTGCATAGTTTCTTCCTCCCTCCCGCCCCCCAACACCCTTGCACACCTACACATCCACACTGACTCACGAGCAGATGTCAATACGTGCCACACACACACCCTACACACACACGCACACCATGCGCACACCATGCGCAGCACCATGCGCAGCACCATGCTCACGCACGGACACACTCATACATGCACACACACATTTGTGCGCGCCCATTTACAGGTTGTGACCCGCAAGGAGGAGTGGACCGATATGAAGTCATTCTTCAAGAACAATTCTATGGGCGTCTACTCGGGCCCATGTGAGCCATTTTGCCAGGAACGTCATGCACGAATTGGCGCGGGTGTGCGGCGGGCGCCGGGCAAGTACTGGGGTGTTTGCCTATGCGGCCAATCAAAGCATGTGCAGGCCTTGCTTTACAATGCGATGAGGCCTACCCTAGGCTGCTGTCCCCCTGCGATCAGGACTGATCGCTTGCCTCGCTGTCGCAATCCCCTCTTGACAGGCAAGGGTGCAAATGTGGAGCTGCACCACGCAGTACAGGTGGTGGGCTACAACCTGGAAGACCAGTTTTGGATCATCAAGAACTCTTGGTGAGCACCAGCATAGCGGTGAAAAGGCAGATGGATTGTCTCGTGGCATGAGTGTGCTTGCCAGCCATGGTACCATGGCACCGGTGCTTTTCCGAATTTAATAGGACCTGCTTGCACGGCTCACTGGCTGGTGGCTGCAGCCTCACTTTGTAGCTGACTGCCGGGCCGGGCACAGCTGGCGGCGGGCTGGTCAGACCCAGTGCCATATAACACAAACAAATGACTTTGAAAAACCCCAGAGGATACCGCTCAGCGCTTACGACTGCCACTCCCACTTTCCCCTCATGCTGACCGCACCAGGGGCACCTCATTTGCGGAGGGCGGCTTCTTCAGGGTGGCCTTCAACAGCAAGGTCGGCGCGGGCAACCCTGATGACACCTACGGCCTCAAGTTTGTGCTCAACAAGCTCCCCACTCTGCCAAAGCAGCGCCTGAGCCCCTCCAAGGCCCGCCCCGGCTGCTGGGAGTACCGCGCCCGGCCCTCGGACTTTGTCTCCAGGGTGGCGGACACCTTTGGACTGTCTATCCAGCAGGTGCTGCAGGACAACATCGGGCGCATCCCGGAGCCCGACATGTTCCTGTCAGACCGCACCATCCTGCTCTGCGGCATCGACGGCAACGGGCAGCAGGGCGGCGGCGCCGATCTCCGTGCCGCCACGACGCCGACGCCTTGGCTTCCTTTGAGCATCTCTACGCCTCTCAATGCTGGGGGTTACTCCACTCCGGCCCTGGCGCCCGCCCCTTCTCGGCGCCGGCTCGCTGGGCCTGATGCAAGGGTGGCAATGGCGCAGCAGCTGGACGCGCTGATGGCCATCAAGGCTTCAATTGACGCGCAGGGCTCCCTCACATGGACCCGTGAGACCGGCGCCAACGGCGGCTACTGCAAGTGGGACGAAATCGAGTGTGATGACTCCGGCAACGTCATCATTCTAGCGCCAGGCGGCTTGTTGGGCGGCACGCTGCCGCCAGTTGACGCGCTGCAAAAGCTTCCCCGTCTTGCCAACTTGGTATTGCGCGAGAATGGGCTCAAGGGCACTCTGCCTGTAGAGTACCGAGGCTTAGTGAACCTTGCTGCATTTGGTTGTGACGGCAACAGCCTGACCGGAACCCTGCCACCTGAGTGGGGTGCATTGGTTCGGCTTGCCAACTTCAGTGCCACCAACAATTTGTTGTCTGGCCCACTGCCTGCCAATTGGAGCAAGATGCGGAGCCTACAGATTGTGCTTCTGAATAACAACACCCAGTTGGGCGGCCGTCTGCCCACCAGCTGGGGCTCTCTGTCGATGTTACAGGTGCTCGACATCCACGTTGGGTCGTTTGTGGGACCTTTGCCAAGCGAATGGGCGGCGCTGTCGAATCTGCAAGAGTTGTACTTTTATTCCAACCAGCTGACTGGCTCGTTACCTCCTTCATGGGGTACAGGCATGAAAAAGCTGCGGTACATTAGTGGATACAACAATCAAATCACTGGGCCCTTGCCCAAAACCTGGGCAAGCCTGGGTGGTCTGGAAGTGTTTGACATGGGCTTCAACCCGCGGCTGAGCGGCACTTTGCCCCCAGAATGGAGTGGCATGAAGAGCCTGCAGCTGTTGTTCATCCCAGAATGCTCGCTCAATGGGCCCCTGCCAAAATCGTGGGCCGCGCTGACCGATCTGCACAACATTACCCTTTACAACAACCTGCGTCTGAGCGGCACCTTGCCTTCAGAGTGGGCAGCTTTGAAGAAGCTGACCATGGTCGATACTTCCAACTGTTCCCTCAGTGGCCCCCTGCCCAAGACTTGGGGCGGCCTTGTTGACCTCGACTATCTTTCAGTTGCATTCAATGCAAAGGTCAGCGGCCCCTTGCCTGCGGAATGGAGCGCCATGAAGAGCCTTGAACGTTTTGACGGGCAGGCATGCGCGCTCAGCGGGCCCTTGCCAAAAAGCTGGGCCGCGCTGACCAACTTGCAACAGCTCCGCCTCTACAACAACCAGGGCTTGAGCGGCACCTTGGCCCCCGAGTGGGCAGCTTTGACCAAGCTGGAGTGGCTTGATGTCACAAACAATTCCCTGAGTGGCCCCGTGCCACCCAGTTGGGGCTCTGGCATGAAGCGCCTGAAGATCCTTGAGCTTTACGACAACAAGCGCCTGAGCGGGTGCCTGCCGTCTGCACTCAACAAGAGGCTGCGTTTGGCAGACACTTGGCCAGAGGGCTCGCTGCTTTCTCAGACATGGGACCGCACCGAAATTACTGGATTCTGCTGAAATGCGCGTATTGCGCCCAGTTTGTGTGCGCGTCATGGGCTCTTGCTAACGGCCCGCACCCTTTGTGCAGCATGCATGCGCCTGTGCGCTTTGCTCCTCGTCACAAGCCCGCAGCGGCCGTCCTTGATCAGCAGCAACTGCAAGCCGATGTACATAGCATCACCAGCATCATTGTAGGCCTGCATTTGAACAGGAGCTCATCACTGCAGGATGACTTGTCAAGGGAGGCCGCACCAGCCACCCAAAGGATATCTGATATTGTAATGCATGCGTGTGCGCTGAACTGCGCTGCCTTGTGGATAGCTTGCCCTTGCAAGATCTTGTCACCCATTCTAGAATGGGTCGGTGACCGGCCCCACGGAGTGCATGTCTGCCCGCACCCCCCTTTCCAGGGCACCTTGTGTAGCCCGAGGCGCCCATTGGTGGCTGGTGCTTAGTGCACACCGCAAGAAGGCGAGAGCCCTGGTGCTCTTACCAGCGCTCATCGCCTGCGCAATGCATTCTACGCCACGTCAATCTTTTGGGCTCATTCAGCTTGCACAACCACAGGGTACACGGACCGCCCTCAAATTGCTGGAACATCAAGCTGTGAATATACAATTAGGGAGCCACTCTGCAAATGATGTGTGTCGTGTGCCTGGGGACCGCATGCTAGCTCGTGAGTGATTGGGGCGGCACGCACAGATCACTGCCCACCCCGAGGCGTCCTGCAACCCGTGCCCTCACCCAACTAAGCACCATCTCCAGCACCTCGCCCCTGGGCTGTTGTGCTCGACTGCCATACGCTGCGGTACTTTGCAAAGGTGTTGCAGCCGCTGCGGCGCTTTGTCTGCCTAAGAGTGGAGGCCGCGGCGTATTTCGTAACTGAACACAGGCCAGAAAAACCCATGCTCAGTCAGCAAGAAAGGCGCAGCTCGTCACAAAACCTCACCTTATCAACCAAGTGCACACCACACGTGCAAATCGAGTTTCACAACTGGCATGTTGCCTGCGTTAAGGCCATGATGATGGCACCGTCGGCATGCTCACGCGCAGGTGCACAGCCGCTCACAGACACACTGGCGGTTTCCGGCAGGTGTGTGGTGTGCATTCTTCATTGCTCCCGCCAGAGCTGATGTGGACTGCACACACCATTCTGTATGATATATTACCCAATATGATGGATATCTTGCGCCAGCAGCGCTGAATACGCGTTCAGGCTGCTGAGCTGCGTTCTGGACAAAGCCTCCGCTGTGTTGTCAGAGTTTCACCGCTATGGCGAGCACGTATGACCTCGTAGTAGACGTTGATAGTGTGGTGGGTGTTGGGGCGAGGCCGGGACCGGGAGGAGTGCGAGTCCTGCTTGACAGAAGTGGATGCAGACGCTGTCCTATGGGCCGATACGAGCTGTAACGGTATCTACAACTTGTCTTGTGATTGAAGCCACGCGGTGCCACAACGTATTGGCTTTGCATCGTGCGCAAGCGCGTCGCTGCGCTGCGTGCTTCCGTCTCTGCTGGCGCTCTGCTGGTGTGCAGGAGCAGCCCGAAGACACGACGCACGACGTCCTATTCAAGATCGGCGTTGTGGCAGACATCCAATATGCCGATGTGAGCGCTGTGCAGCACAGCTCGGCGCCGGCCTTGCGCGCGCGAGTGAACGCACACGCCGACGTGCGCCCCGCCCAGAGGATGCGCGCACACGGCAGGCCCGCCGCCCTCACCCCCCCCCCCAACCGGCAGGTGGAGGATGCCACGTCGTTCCACGGCGTCCCCCGCTTCTACCGGAACAGCCTGATCGGCCTGCGGCGCGCCCTGTCGGCGTTTGAGGCCGAGGGGGTCGCCCTGACCCTCGACCTCGGGGATGCGGTTGACGCCAAGCAGAAGGCGGCGGCGCATGCAGGGTTCGACGCCGTGCTCGGCTGCTTCGAGAGCCGCCCCTTCCCGTCTTACCATCTGGTGCGCGTCGGGGGGCTGAATACGCCCAGCAGGGCCGGTGCGGTGGGACGGGGTGGCATGGATTCGGCCAGGCGCTGGCGCTCTGCGGCATTGGAGGCTTGGACCCTGGACATGCTGCAAATGCATTCCTGGGCCAACCACGGAACCGCAGGTGGGCAATCACGATTTGTACAACCTACCACGGCCCGAGCTGAACAAGAGGTGCGGCCAGGGGCCAGCCGCACGCAAAACGCTGGTGCTGGCAGCCGGCTGTTTTTCAGCAGGCTGCTTGCGTGCCGGGCAGCCGTGGTCAAGGCATGTCGTGCTGTGGACTTGCCACAAGGCCCAGCTCCCTCTCCCCCAATGTACACACACCCTGGTCGCCTCACATCGGCCGCACGCAGGCTGGGCATCGCGCCGGCGGGCCCCTACGGCTCCTCTTACTACTCATTGGTCCCTCACCCCAGCACGCGCATCTTAGTGCTTGACAGCTATGAGCTCAGCCTCTTGGACGCCGCCCAGGGCCCAGACCACCCGCTGCGAATCAGGGCGGATCAGATCATGGCTGTCAACCCGAATTCGAACAAGCACAGCCCGGACGGCCTCGTCGGGGAGCAGCGGCGCTTCGTTGAGTTTGGGGGCGGCGTGGGGGAGGGGCAGCTGGAGTGGCTGCGGGCGGAGCTGGAAGCTGCTAAGGCGGCAGGGCAGCGGGTCATTGTGGCGGGCCACGTGCCATTCTGGTGCGCGTATGTGTGTGCAGCGCTGGTAGTATGGGTGGGGTTGGGCGTCTGCGGCTGCCGAGGGGTCCACACACAGGAGGTGTTGTGGCTTGGGCCGCACGCTACGTTTGTGCAGCTGATAGAGGCCAGGGGGCCTCAACCTGAATGTCGCTCATTCGCATATGTGCATGCACAATCTATGCACGCGTTTTTGCACGCGCCCGCACACACACACACACACTCACGCACACATGCATGTACACACTCACACACACACACACACACACACACACACACACACACACACACAAAAGTGAACTCACGTGCATGATTATGACACCCCTTCCGTCGAAACAGCCCTGGCACCTGCCCAGAGCCCTGTGTGCTGTGGAATTACGAGGAAGTGCTCGCCCTGCTGGAGGCCTCTGGGGTGGTCTCTGCCACCCTGGCTGGGCACGCACACATGTGAGTGGGGGTTGTAGCGACGACACGCTTTCGCCGAGACCCAATAAGTGGTCAGGCGCTGGGTTTGCAGCGGGAGCGGCAGCTGCAGAGCATTGGTGCGTCTGTTGTGCTTCCTCGCAGCCTGCATGGGCGTTTTCCATACCTTCCACAGCTCCCCATATGCCTGTTTGTCATCAACAAACCAACCTCAGGAATGGCTACGTGCTGCGCAACGGGATCCACCACATTGTGATGCCATCGATCCTGGAGACGCCCCCAGATCGCGACGCGTACGCCACGCTGGACGTCACACCCTCAGCACTCATCTTGCGCGGCCACGACACCTGCATGTCACTCATCCTGCGAGTGGCCGGCCCCACCGGTGCACCGCTGGCGCAGCCGCTGCCTCTGCGCACGCTGGCGCCATGGGCGGAGGCGGCGGTGAAGCAGCGGCGATCGGGCGGTGACTGCACCAGCAAGGCGGTTGAGGCTGCAGCCGCAAGCAATGCAGAGGGCGCCGTGATGGCGCTGACCCCAATGGTCCAGGCTTAAAACATCAATCGCTAGCTGCTTGCTGTTTGCTGGTTGCTGATGGTGAAGTAGTTTAAGCATGCAGATTGGTCGATTGTCCGTTGCAGTGTATTGCTGGTGTGTCACTGGAGCGAGCGTGCACAATGTTGCCCTTTGTGAGCCATGAGTGATGAGGCAGGCAAAGTCAATTGCTGCGGGGAGCTTTAAACTGTGATTAGCTTTGAGTTTGTTTCCCTGGTATCATTGTGTTTGTCTGTTATGTGTGTATGTGCGCGTGTGCGGGCACTATCCCTCTCGCTCTCTCTTTTGTGGCATGCTGCCATTGGTGGCTTTCCTCTGTCCCAGCAATGCAAGTTAGCTGCTGTCCGCAGGACATCTTTGGGGATTGTTTTGAACGACAAGTGCTGCCATCTGTGGCACGAACCAAAGTATTCAAGCGCTGTGTCCTGCGCACGTCCGGCTGCTCACTCACATCTGCCACACTTGGGCAGCAGCCCCTGGTGCACCTGGGTAATATGATGGTGGGGACAACTCTGATGGGTTTCACTTCTTCTCCTGGGCCGCAGAGAACTGGTGATGTGCCAGGTTCCCTGCGATACACCTGTAAAGTCGCTTGCAATCTATCCCCCTTCATGTGACAGCCTTGTATTACAATTGGTGTCACCCCAGTGACAAGAGGCTGCCCCTTGGCCAAGTGACCCACCTTGAAGCGGTTGTCGCATGGGCGGGACACGACGACACTGCTCGCTGGCCAGCAAAGAAAATTGCACCTTGGACTATTGTTGAATCTTTCATGTCATAATATGATACTCGAACCAGTCTGCCGCATCGTGATGTAGAGTCCGCCTGGATAACCGCCCCGCGCTTTGCGACCATCGTTGACACGAGCGCCACGTTATCGGCCAATTCAACGCAGATAGTACGCTGTAATGATACGAAGGGTGCGTCAAGGCGGCTGTGGCGTTCGAATCGTGCGGCTGGCCTGCAAGGCTGTTGCAGAGTGTGTGCCATTCGAGCGGTGTCCGGCCGCGGCAGCGAATCGCATTGCCGACATGGGATAAAAATCTCCTTCCACAACCGCACGACACGTGTACACACGCCACACTCCACAGCTACATAGGATGCCCCACCACCGCGCCTGCGCTCCGGCCCCGTCGAGGGCTGGCTGGCCGCTGCTGCTGCTCTTGGTCCTGGTGGCGCTGGCGGCACTGCGCTGCACCTGCGCGCGCAACGTGCCTGTTGCTAGGTTTGCCGGCCTTGCAGGGACCGACGCTGACGATGTTCTTCAGGGCACCAACTTTGCGGATAACATTGATGGCAAGGCTGGTGAGCTCTGACAAGCGAAGCGACAGTGCGCGTATGCGCCATCATGATGGGTGTCAAACACAGGGCACTGCCTGCAACGCCATGCTGCAGAGCTGAGCGATGCGCATGTAAGCTCACACCAGCTCATACTCTTGCACACCCCAAAGTTACACAATGATCCATCCAAACTTAGGCAATGACAAGCTCTATGGAAAGGACTCTGACGATACCCTAGCTGGGGGGCCCGGTGACGACCTGCTGGACGGCGGCAAGGGAGCTGACGTCATGTCAGGTGATGCGCTTGCGAATCAAAAAGCACACGTATCCAGAAAGACGGCCGTCAGCCTGTTGGCACATGTGGGCAACAGGATGCAGTGAGCCCCGTCACCATCTGCGCGTGCAGCCACCCACGAGGGGGCTTCACATAAGATGCCTGGGGTTTCCTCACCTGCTCGGCGGTTGCCCCCATCTCATGCAGGCGGCCCTGGCAATGACCGTTATGTTGTTGACTGGCTCGGCGACCAGGTGATAGAGGCCGCCGGCCAGGGCACCGACACTATCACCCTGTCGTCGGCCGCGCCGAGGTTTGCGCTGCCAGACAACGTGGAGAACCTGGAGGGATCCAGCGGCGCTGACGCCATCACTGGCAATGAGCGTGCGTGGGGGCCGGACTGCCCGGGCTCAGTCAGAGCTGGTGCTGGTGCTGCTGCTGCTGCTGCTGCTGCTGCTGCTGCTGCTGCTGCTGCTGCTGCTGCTGCTGCTGCTGCTGCTGCTGCTGCTGCTGCTGCTGCTGGCAGTATATGTTCCCAGCCATTTTCACATTGACGCCCTACACTCTGCAGTCAACAACAGAATTCGTTCAGGCGCCGGCCCCGATCTAATCCTAGGACTTGATGGAAACGAGTGAGAG